TACTTTTGTCTCAACGGCACTTCTGCTGATAGCGGTGCTAATGTTCAATGAAACTGAAAGAAGCCAGGAAAGCAGAATGAGCAACCAAAGAAGAGAACAGAATAATCTATGAATTCCAGTTGCTTTTGAAGCCATTGTGATAGATTTCCGTTGACTGAACTCAATAAGGGTACACATGTTGTTGTTGGTGGTGGTGTTGTCATCGAGTCAGTACTGACTCAGCAACCCTATTATGCAACAAGACAAAATACTGCCTGGTCCTGCACCATCCTCATAATCTTTTCTATGTGTGAACCCATTGCCGCAGCCACTATGCCAATCTATCTCATTGAGAGTCCTCCTCTTTTACTGACCTTCTGCTTTTCCAAGCATGGTGTCCTTCTCCAGGGACTGGTCCTTCATGATACCATGTCCAGAGTATGTTAGACAGAGTCTCTCCATCCTCCCTTCTAAGGAGCATTCTGGCTATACTTCTAAGACAGATTTGTTAATTCTTCTGGAAGTCCATGATATATTCAATATCCTTCACCAACACCATAGTCAAATGCATCAATTCTTCATCAGTTCTTCTTGGGTCTTCCTTATTCATTGTCCAGCTTTCACATGTATATCAGGCTATTGAAAATACCGTGGCTTGGGTCAGGTGCACCTTAGTCTTCAAAGTGACATCTTTACTCTTAAACACTTTAAAGAGGTCTTTTACAATAGATTTGTCCAATGCAATGTTGTTGTTATGTGCCATTGAGTTGGCCCCAACTCATAGCGACCCCTCCTTGGGTTGCCGAGGCAGTATCACTACGGAAGTAGATTGCCCAACCTTCCTTCTGAGGAGTGGCTGGTGGGTTTGAACCACCAGCCTTCTGGTTAGCAGTCAAGTGCCTTAGGCACTACTCCACCAGAGCTCCCTGTGATCCACATAGTCAAATACATTTGCATAGTCCACAGGTAGACATCTTTCTGATATTCTCTGCTTCAGCCAAGATCCATTTGACATCAGAAATGATACCTTTCATTCCATGTCTTCTGAATCTGACTTGAATTTCTAGCAGTTTCTTATCGATGTTCTGCTACAACCAGTTTTTAATTATTTTCAGGAAAATTTTACTTGTGTGCGATATGATATTGTTCAATAATTTCTATATTCTGTTGGATTACCTTTCTTTAGAATGGGCACAAATATGTATCTCTTCTAGTCAGTCTTCCAAATTTTTTAGCATAGATGAGTGAGCACTTCAGCATGCACGTACCTATCTGATAACAGTGTAAAATCAAGCATATATGGTCTAATGGTCCATCTTTACATTTCACCCACCATCTCAGCAATGCATAGGTCCAATTGCTAATAGACATTCCTCCTAGAAGTCATTTAGGCATTTCAAGCCAACATGGCCAAAGTATAACTCCTTTTCTTCCCCCCACAAACCTGCCCCTCTTCCTGTATTTCCTCTCTCAGTTAAGCATCCACATCACACCGTTGCTCAAGGTTGCAACATCAAGTTGCATTCTCCATCTACTTATCCTTCTCCCCACCTCCCATCTGGGTGGCCCCCAGGGCCTGTTGCATGTACCTCCTAAGTAGACTGTGAATCAGTGCCTCTTTTGTCTGCCCACTGTCTCTGTCTGCATCTGTAAATATTGCTGTGTAACAACCACCCCAAATTCAGTAGTTTGCAACAATAATCATTTGTTATTTCCAGTGTGTCTTAGGTCACTGATCTAGAACAGCTTAACTGGGTGACTCTGATTATGTTGGATGAGCTTACTCATATGACATACTCGTGACCTGATCCAATTTAGTAGAGAAACTGCAAAGTCACATGGCAGAGAGCAGGGATACAGGTTGAGATGAAGAACTAGGGCCGATAATGCAAACCACTATACTGCCAAAACCCAAGTCCTTGCTGTCTTTTGTCTGGACTCTTCACTAGTCTTCTAATTCCTTGCATTGTGTATAGTCTAACCTCTCTCCAGATTAATCCTATGATCCCTTTATTAAAACCTCCCACTGCCTTTATCATTACTGAATTGACCTGAAGCCCTCTACAACTTGTCTCTAATGCGTTTTTCTAGCTGCCTCTGTTGCTGTGTTTCAGAAATGACTCACCACTCCCTTGCCACATATGCTTGTTTGAGCACAGTTCTTCACCTTCATAAACAGCTTCTGTCCCTCTGCAGTGAGCCCCCACAGTTTAGGGTATTATAATTGAGGTGTTGTTTGCCCTTCAGGACCCGTTCATATGCTGCCTCCTCCAGAAAGCCTTCTCAGAAACCCTAGAGAGAAAGAGTTGCTCTTTCCTTTATCCTCTGTTAGCAAATTGAAATAGTATTGCACTCATTTTTCACTCACAATTTAGGGATACATGCTTAGCCAGATAGAAGGAATGAGTGAGGAAAGACAGTTGAAATAATTCCACCCACCATTCAGTGATCATGGGAGAACTGAGATAGGATTTGGCTGTTACTTTGTCATCCTTGGTTCCAGTGGCCTCTTAAGCTCCTGAAAGCCTCTTGTAAAGTAAAAGTCTTGGACTATTGAGTGGGGGGTCTAGTGTTTAAAAATACAAGACTATTATAGCAAGCCAGTTATCTCATCTGGTATTCCACCAGAGAAACAGCTGTCTGACTGTGTTGTCTTGTTGTAAGTCAGTACCATCAGTACTTCATTGGAAACTCAAGGACGTTCAGTGGTAATATTGTGTGCCTGTAATTTGTACCTCATGGGGACTTCAGAATCTAAACCTGACTGCCTAAGATGCAACTCTCTTGTATTTCATAGAGGCATCTATCAGACTGAATTTTATTTATGTTTGTGTTTCCTAACTAAATCAGGAAGTTTTCATCCATGGCTTATGGTTCTTCAGAGAGCTGCTGCCTGGGGTTGCACAGTGAACCCTGTTCACATGAAGGTCTATATAAGCAGACTCCCGGAGTACATGGTGGTACCAGGTTTCTTGTATCCCCAATGCCTGGTACATATTGGTTGCTCAAGAAATGTGTGAATGAATGAGAACTAGAAAAAGAGAGAGAAGAAAACAAACTGAGCTAATTTCACAAGTGAGAGTTGGGATGAAAATTCGAACAAGATCTGAGCCAACAAAATTAAAACCATGTTATTATTGGAGGTGCACATAGTGAAGTGTACAAGTCAGCCCACTTGGAGTCTTATTTATCTACAAGAAAAAAATTAGCTGTCATCCTGTGAATTGATTGAGGTTTTGGTTCCTAAAAGCACAACACACTTCTCAAATGTAATTGACCACATGATCACCTTATTCCTAACACTCCATAGGCGTTGTATGCCATTCTGTGAAAGCAAATCCATTTTAAAGGAACCTACCCCCTCAAATCACAGTTGGCATAAAGATTTCTTGGTTGTCCTTAGACCAGTCATAAAACTTATATAAATACAAATAGATCCATCTTTTAAAAGAGCAAGTCTTTTTATTGGGTTTTTATCAAACCAAACCCATTGCCATGCAGTCAATTCCAGCTCATAGAAACCCTATGGGACAGAGTAGAACTGCCCCATAGGGTTTCCATGGCGGTAAATCTTTACAGAAGCAGACTGCCTCATCTTTTTCCCTCTGAGTAGCTGGTGGGTTTAAACTGCTGACCTTTTGGTTAGCAGCCAAATGCTTTAACTACTGTGCCACCACAGCTCCTTTTATCAGGAATAGTTACCTGAATTGGAAATATCCCAGTATTTCTACTGGCCAGCACAGTGTTTCACTCCATGGGAAAGTGTTGCAAGTGAAACAGCTTCAGACTGGGAATTTGATGCTCCCAGTGTTTCTGCCAAGGAGCTCTAGTGGCATAGTACCGAAGGCATCTGACTGCTAACCAGAAGGTTGGCAGTTCAAACCCACCAGCCACAACGCAGAAGAAAGATGGTACAATCTACTTCCATAAAGATTTACTTCCTCAGAAATGCTATGTGGGTCATTTAGAGTAAGAATCGGCTCAGTGGCAGTTATTTTAGTTTGAGGAGTTCTGCCAGAGGACACAGGAAGGGTCACTGGCCCATTCAGGGTATGTGGGCTTCTGGGTAGACATGACCCAAGAAGAGGCCCAACAAGCAGCATACGCTGGGCAAAGACAGCCCAATGACTCCCTCCCCAACCCCAATCACAGCCTCAATACAAGTAAGCTCTGCCAGTAGGAATGCTGCATTCAACCCAGGTGGTTCTCCCTGTCTCTCCCCTCCCACATGGGGCACTGCTGACAAGACTCCTCACCAGCCAGGGCTCGAGCTTGCTCTGTGAATTGCAGTACACTCTAGGAAAGCAGGCAGATTCTCTCTCATTCATCACTATCTGCCCAGGGCCTAGCACAGTGTGGGGCATGTAGAAAGGATCCCATAAATCCTTGTTAAATGAATCAATAAAATAAACCAATGAAGTAAACAATCCTGAGGACTACAGTGGTCAAGGAAACATTTGTAGGAGTTGCATTATAGTTAGCTACTGTCAAGTAGGTCCTGACTCATGATGCCCTCGTGCACGATAGAACAAAACACTGCCATTCCTGTGCCATCTCCATGGTTGCATATTGGGCCATCGCAACCCACAGGGCTTTCATTGGCTTATTTTCTCAAATAGATCATCCAGCCTTTCTTCCTGGTCCATCTTAGTCTGGGAGCCCCTAAATCACTGCATTTGCTTCAGAAAATCTTAAATGCTGTACACCTGAAGCTACAGCATCTACTCTGACAGCCTGTTATCACCTCCAAGTCAGTAGAGACTTGACTTTCTGTTGCCTTACAGAAAGTACCAACTCATATAGATGAGTACAGTTTTCTTAACACTGGCCAGCTTGGGCACTGTTTGTAAGCAACAGTTCTTTAGTCTTTCCCTGCTAGAGAGGAGCTGTAGTAGTTTTTCCTGGGGATCAGAAAACCGTAGTGGCATCAGCTCATTGAGAAGTCACCATGTCTTCCTGCCAGGCTGGCTATGCCACTACTGGACACCTTCCTAACATGATTTTTTTCTTGTTGTTTCCAGGTGATCTGTCCGTGGAAGAGGCACAGGACCCTTTCCTGGTTAGTATCCACATAATTGCAGACCCAGGAGAATCCCAACACCTGCAGGAAGCCATCGACAAGGTCTTGGCTTGGATCCACCCCGACCTCCAGCTGTTCCGAGTCTCGGAGAGGAGGGCACCACGGCGGCGGAAGAAGCCGCCCAAGGTAGCTCAGCCGGCCCTGGCGGTAGTCCTGTTCCTGCAGGAGGAGTACGGAGAGGAGCAGATCCTACAGTTGCACAGCACGCTGCAGCGGCCGCCATGGCACTTCCACCACACAGAGCGTGTGCACGGCAGGTTCTTGCCCTACCTGCCGTGCAGCCAGGACTTTTTCACACTGGCTCCCGGGACCCCGCTGTGGGCTATCCGGCCTGTGCACTATGGCAAGGAAATTGTCCGCTTCACCATCTACTGTCGCCACGAGAACTACGCAGACATCCTGAAGTTCTACGAGCTCATTCTCAAGCGGAGCCCCATCCAGAGGAAGACGGACTTCTGCATCTTCCCCATCTTCTCCAACCTGGATGTGGACGTCCAGTTCTCCCTAAAAAGACTGCCCCGCGACCAGACCCCAGTCCCCACCGACTCCTCAGTGCTGGAGTTCCGGGTCAAGGACATAGGTGAGCTGGTTCCTCTCCTGCCGAACCCCTGCAGCCCCATCAGTGAAGGCCGCTGGCAAACGGAGGATCACGACGGGAACAAGATCCTTCTGCAGGTACCTTGTGGGCACTGTCTGTCTGTTGCCCTGTTTTGAGGAACAGGTCAATTGGCTCTCCCAGAACCCTTGCAAAAGGAGCGATCAGTGACCCTTTGTCTGACTTCTAGACCAAGTCAGGTTGCCCTGACTCTGTCTAAACAAGAGAGGCAGGAAGGGATCCTGTGGTTCTTATTTGGCTGTCAGGGCCATATGCCTCAGGTGAGCCTCCAGGTACATCCAGGAATGAGCTTGTAGTCTGGGGAAAGTTTTTTTATTAAAGATTTTTGAATCTGCTCTTTTACACTTAGCGCATTTTTAGCGATGTATCCTTAACTCCCTCAAGGAGACGTCAGGAAAACCCATCTATTTGAAAATATAGTGGCATTCAATAGAGAAGCTATCTGTCCTTGTCTTCCTTCTGTGCCTTCCCTGCTTTCTAGCCTGCATTTCAGTGGCTTTTTCTGGGCAGTAGATTGTGAAAATTCTGGGATCACATTAAAAATTATTTCCTCATAAGCCTTGTGAGGGGTAAGTGATGCCTGAGGAGCTTCTGGTTTCATTAGGCACAGGAAGGGGTGAGTGAAGTATATTTTAAGGAAATGAACACTTGGTAAACTGTTCCATCCATGGTTTGTGTCTTGGCTCAATTACTAGACCCTTTTCCCCTTCCATCCTTCCAGTAGTTGTCCCAAACTTTTTAGAGATAACTGATTGTGGTAGTTATGTTTGTGTGTCAACTTGGCTGGGCCTGGTTGAGTGTCTGTGCAGCTGGTGGTAGTTATTCTCCATGATGAGACTGGCAAGCAGCTCCATGGTGGTATCTACCACAAGCAGCTGAGTAGCTGCCTTTGGGAATGTGGTCTGCTTCCCGTATTTAAGGAGAAGCCTTGGGAATGGTCTCTAGCCTAGGCTATGGCACGCTTGGACCCTGCATGTAGCCGTGTCGTTGTTCAGCAGCCTGCTATGGTTTGCCGACCTTGGGACTTTGAGTGGACTTAAGTTAATGGCCTGCCATGTGGTTTGGTAACTTCGGGACTGTGCCTTTTTGCTTGTCAACCTTGGGACTTCTCAGCCTCAGCAGGCAGCAGCTGTCTGAGTGAAGAAATGCCTCTAGCTCCAGTGAGCTGGGAGCAGGAGGCGGAGCTGGACCCCAAGGTTGAGGGGCTTTCACCCAGCCCCTAGAGCCTGGCACTTTGAACTTGGACTTAAAGCCTCCAAATTGTAAGAATAAACTCCTGTTTGTTTAAGCCATCCCATTTGTGGTATATTCTTGTCAGAGTGGCACTAGATAATCAGAACACTGATTATACACTGGATTTCAAAATTCAGCAAATAAGTTTAAGAGCTCCCTGCCTTTGGCCCTATGGGGCCATGATGGTTCAGTGGTAGAATTCTTACCTTCCATGTGGCAGACCTCAGTTCAATTCCTAGCCAATGCACCTCATGTCGGTGAAGGCTTATGTGTTGTTGAACAGATTTTAGTGGAGTTTCCAGATTAAGACTAGGATGAAAGGCCTGGCAATCTACTTCTGAAAATCAGCCAGTAAAATCCTATGAATCACAGTAGTCTGTTCCTTAACCAGTCATGGTGATGGCACAGGTCTGTGCAGTGTTTTGTTCCATTATGCATGTGGACACTGTGAGTCAGTCAGGAGCCAACTCAGTAGCAGACAACAATAACAACCCCTGGTGCTATCTGATAAATACTTTCCAAACTCAGAGTTTCTTTCTTTCTTTTTCTTTTTTCAATTGTGATTTACAATTTACAGAGCAAATTCACTTTCCATACAGCAGCTCACATACACTTTGTCTCCTGACAGATCCCCTCCCACTTCCTCCTCCTAGTTACCTCTTCTTTGTGTACTTCTCTCCCATGCACTACTGTCTCCGCCCCCAGCTGTCTCCCTGTGCATACACAGCCCTTCTATTCTCCCATGATTAATTTCTCCAAGGAGTGTATCTACCTAATGTAAGTGTTCAGTTCATTTGCCTGTCTTTTGTTTGGCTGGGAGCCACAGGAGTGGGTTCAGTTCCAGAACTGAAGGGTAACTAGGGGCCATAATCTCAGTGGTTCCACCAGACTCTATCAGACCAGTAAACCTGGTCCCCCCTTTTATTTTTCCCAATGATTTTGAGTTTTGTCCCACATTGTTCTCTCACTCTATCCAGGATTTCCTACATAGATCCTTCTCCAGGCATCGTCTAGTTCTTCTAGTCTTAGAGTCATATAGGCTAAGGATCGCATGGTGTACCAGTCACTTGGACTAATTGTTTCCATGCGTCTTTGGTTTTCTTCATTCTTCTTTGCTCTGGACAAGTAGAGATCCATTGTTGCATCTACATGACTGCTTGCAAGCTTCTAAGACCCCAGTCACTACTCGCCAGAGTAGGATGTGGAACAGTGTTTTTGTAGTATGTCATGCCAATTGAGCTTGTGTCCCCTGTGACCATGGTCCCGAGCACACAGGTCCAACTGCTCGCTCCCTCTAGGTAGCTGGCTGTGGCCAAGGAGTGACTGCAACCTTGTCCCTTGTCAGCTCTGCTATATACCTGGGAATTCTTACAGAATGTACGAATACACTTGTAGAAACATTGTCTGCCAACACTACACATGGTCATGGGCACACTCCCCCCCACCCTCAAACTCAGGCTTTCTTGAAGTAACAAATTACTTCCAGAAGTATAAGACTTTTTTATTTTTTTTCCTCTAAAAACCATGTGTCTCCTCAGTTTTCACCTGAAAATGTTTTACCTGAAAGGAGAATGTTAATAGAGAATTGAGGAACATTATCTTTAGAGGTACTGATTGTGGTTACTTGAATCACAGGTAAAGTTTCACAGTTTCTGTTTGTTTTGGCATTAGACACCAAGACTATAACCTGCATACCATGAAATGTAAGTAAGACTTTGGCAGATGTCAGACATACAGCTAAGCAACATTATTCAAATCAGAAAGATCACATTCAGAAATTTACTACTTATCCAGTTGCCATCCAGACACATCCAACTCTTGGCAACCTCATGTATTCAGAGCAGGGCTTAGAACCAGTTCATTCCAGTTTGACCTTCTGCTGATCAGTGGGGGATCTTGTTAACATGTAGATCTGATTCAATATATCAGAGTGGGAATGCAAATTCTCAGCAGGGAATTGAACTGAGAACCACTTTGAAGCCTTGGTTCAGAGTAGAGCTGTACCTCATGAGGTTTCCAATGGCTAGTTTTCAGAAATATATCACCAAGTCATCTCTGAATGGATTCAAACCTCCAACCTTTCAGTTAGCAGCCACTGTGTCAACCATTTGCACTACCCAGTGACTCCTTACTACTTCTGTGAACTAGACAGTTTTCAAATTTCAGTTAGCATTATGCAGATAAGAAGCTCAGTAATTGCTCAGCCCATTGAATGCTGGCATTTCCTCTGTAATCCCTTTTGAAGTGTGAGAAAAGTTTCTCCTGTGTTTGAAGATTGCCCCCCCCTTTAAAAAATTTTTATTGTTATTTGGGTGAAAGTTTACAGAGCAAATTCACTTTCCATACAGTAGCTCCCATATACTTTATTTCATGACATTGATTGCAATTTCCTACAATGCAACAGCTCCCCTCCCACTTCCTCCCCATAGATACCTCTTCCCTGTGTCCTTCCCTCCATGTACTTCTGCCCCCAAGCTGTCTCCCTGTGCATGCACAGCCTTCTATTCTCCCATGATTGATCTCTCCAAGGAGTGTATCTACCGAATGTAAATGTTCAGCTCATATGCCTGTCTTTTGTCTGGCTGGAAGCCACAGGAATGGGTTCAGTTCCAGACCTGAAGGGCAGCAAGGGGCTGTAGTCTAAGGGATTTCACCAGAAGACTGCCATTTATTTATGCAAAATATAATACAGTTTACCAAGTAAAAGTTAATAGTGTGCAAAGGATTTTAGTTACATACACACACACACACACACACCCCAAAAACAGTAAGAATATGACTGTTTCTGAAGTGCTGCAGTAGTTAGAGTATTTTTTGTCTGGATCCCTCTAATAATGTAAAGGAAAGAACAAAGTATGAAAGCCTGGGCTCCATTCAAAGGAACCATTGAAAGAATATATCAAAAAAGAGCCACACAAAAATGATATGTTGCTTCCTAAAAAGCTAGAAATAGAAATACCTTATGATCCAGCAATTCCACCACTAGGTATACATCCTAGAGAAATAAGAGCTGTGACATGAACATACACATGTTTATTGTAGCACTATTCACAATAGCAAAAAGGAGGAAATAACCTAAGGGCCCATCAACAGAGGAATGGGTCAACAAACTATGGTACTTCCACACAATGGAATAGTAGACAACATTAAAGAATAATGATGAATCTGTGAACATGGGTCTCGTAACATGGATGAACCTAGATGGCATTATGCTGAGTGCTATGAATCAATCACAGAAGGACAAATATTGTATGAGTCTACTGTTGTAAAAAGTCAAGAATAGGGTTACATAAAAAAAAAAAAGAAAAAAGAAAAGAAATACTCTTTGGTGGTTAATTGGGGGAGGGGAAAGGAGGGTAAGCCACTAACTAGAGGGTACAGATGTGAAAAAAATCAATCAATTGATTAATTACAAATTTAAAAAAGAGAACCACACATTTACATGGTTATAAAATCTATACAAGTACAGGCTTTTGAAGTTAGAGCATCAAAGTGTGAAGAGAATTTTTTTAAAAAAAATTGTAACTTGGGACTCAGGAATGCAACCTTTGTTCAAAATAGAAGTGGGCCCAGAAGTTAAATTAATGTGGTCAGAAATGACTAATAGCTCCCTTATAATTTTTGAAAATGACCATTTGAACAGTTTACTCTTACTGCCTTGCAGCAGAGAACAAACCTCTGCTCTACCTTGAGATACGTGTCTGTTCATCTTTATTAAGTTACTTTTAAAAGTAAATAGGTTTTGTCCCAGTCTTTGACAAAATTAAGATATTGTGGGAGAGGGGTGCAGCTGAGAGAGTGCCTTTTTGTTGTTTCATCCACATTC